TGCGGACTGTACTTCTTTTTCTTCTTCCTTAGGCTTTGCCTCGCTACTATCAGGCTCATCCACTTCATTTACTTCTACCTCTTCCAATTTACTCGTATCATTCTCATTAACGTTACTTGACTCTTTATGACGTTCTTGCTCTAAACCAGGTATAGAAGATAACTATGCAGAAGCAAAGTAAAGCATTTGTGAAAAGATGAGTATATTCGGTACGCAAGATAATTTATTTTGCAAAGATTTTTTTTCTCTCTTTTCTGCTGACAAGAATACACACGTACCCGCGATTCTAATATTTCTAACGACGCTTCTAACTTTTGCAACTTATTTTCGAAATCGAACAATCTCTCCTCGCAGGACAAGGAAAATTTGTTGAGAAACGTGACGGTGTGAGTGATAAAGTGATTTATGAAGGAGACCGTGCGCTTCTGGTTGATCGGCGGCACCTAGAATACAAAATCATTTCAGGCCAGGCTTCCTGGGGATCGATCACCGTCGAGCATATCAACGGGCGTCGTTGAGCTCCGACCGATGCGCGAGAAACGTCAAAATCTTTATCGACACCTTTGCGTAGTCTATAGTCGGCTCGATTATCGGTATCTTGTAGTCACTCATCGTGAATTACCAGCCCCGCTTCGCTCTTTCCGTTTATCAAACTGTCAACAACTGTCAACTCGCGTCTGCTCGCGTCATGTTAAGGAAAACATCCCTGCCTTCACTCCTTCATTGCGCATCGGGTATGGAGAATTGTAGAGTGGAAACCGCGTCTAGCGAATATTTTATGGTTCTGTAGCCTGATTACGTCACTGAGGAGAAAGGGATTTTTGAATTAATTTATTCCGCTGACTTATCGAGATTTGATTGATTTGAATAAATATATAAATAAGTCACCAATTTTTTCACAATTTTTTTGCAAAATATTTTAAATAATATTTAGATAAATGATAGGAGCTCGAAATTACTTGGCATTTAGATAATAAAATAATAAACATGTATCTCTGAAAAAAATTATCTTAAAATTATGGAAGAAATCCTGTACTTTT